TCGTCGAGAACACAATCATCTTTCATTACACGATCAGCTCAGCTGACGATGGGTTAACGAATGCAACAAAATGGTTGCTCTGTGCTCCTTTTAATATGTCATGAGCTGATGGTGTTATATTTTTCCCCACCAGGAAGACGAGTTCTGCGGTCAGCGGTGGCGCTGATGTACAAGGTGGCGGCCACGCGAACGTCATAGACGTCAGCAGATCCTCAAGCTCAGGTCAGGACTCGCCGACAAAACCCGACAGGAGACGAAGAGTGTCGATTTACTTCAACAATAAGAAAGGTGACATTTTACAAAATTCATCCAGGTGACAACAATGAGTCACCGAGCCAAGTGAAGATTTGATGGCGGAGCGTAAGAAAAACTGGACTAATCCAATACTCCCCACACGGTTCAGTATTTATAACAATTGTAATTCTACTAAAGGCTACCAGATGTCCACAGTTCGTACCACAAGCTTCTAGAATGTTCGATTATTTTCGGAGCACTGATCGAATTTGATTGCGGGCGATAGAACTCATGAATCACACATCCCCAGAGGGGGCCTTTGAGCCGAAACGTTTTTGGGATTTATTCCAATTTCCTATCGTAAATGTCCTGGGTACTAAGGTTCACCCACAATTGGCAGAACGCACTAAGATAACGCGGCCTCAGAAACAGTGACCCTTAACAACAATGCGATTTCAATCAAACCTTTACGACTGAGAAAAAAATTCTCTTTTACATAACAGGACTGAACAATAACTTCTACTGTCAAAGTGATTAATGATTTTCTATGACTGCAATGTTTAATTTTACTTTAACTACAAATTTAAAAGTTCATACAGTCTAGCGGTTAGAACGCTGGCCTTGTAATCCTGGGGTCTCGGGTTCGATTCCCGGCGGTGCCCGAATTTATAACTTGTGTTGGGCAAGGCCGTGGTCTAGGCAACACGGAGTTTTCCTCCGTGGCATCCCAACAATTACTCCATTCACACACAGAAGAAGGCAATGGCAAACCACTTCTGGATCTTCTGCCAAGAACGTATATGAACAGGTCCCAGTCCGAGAAAAGGATGGAAGGATCCTGTTCATATGGACCTGTCGTCAGACAGAACACTAAATAAAACAGTCTTGTTAAAACGTACTATATAAGTTCCTTACGAATCTTTACCTCTTTTAAACAGGTGCTGGGAAAAGACGTGATTCATCTTTCGTGCCAAATGGAAGTAACGTTCCTGGAGGTGGGATTCTGTCTCGTAGTTTATCTCTGCAGCAAACTAACCATTACACCGGAGGGTCTACGTCAGACATCGCCGCAGGTCACTGCGTCGGCGCAGAAGCAGCCACAAACAGCGAACGCGAGAGGACAAACAGCATCAGTAGCAGAACGAGTAGTGCTACTGGAGTCACCGGAAGTAACAGGATGAGGAAACACAGCGTTTGCAGTACACGTGGAGTCGTTACAAGTGAAAGTGGCAAAGTTCCTTGGTGTGGATGTTGGGGAAATGGTTGTATCTGATTATTAACAAAACAATTCTTTTTTTCCATCTGACTTAACATAATTTGTTGAATGTTCTCCAAACGTAAATGTGAATAACAGACTCAAATCTTTGATACTAGTACGCTAATATTTTGTATCTGCAGGTACACGTATTGTTAAAAAAAAATTTAAACTTTATATATGTGTGTATATTGTAGATATAATTAAATAATAAGCAATAGCTATATTTGTATATAAGCATTTGTCATTGTCATTAATGGAACAACAACGTATGCATTTAAGAAGACACAACATTAAAATAATGGTATATATTAATGTAATTTATGATTTATTTATCTACCTGTTATGTGATATTGTTTATCTGTATGAACAGTAAACAATATAAGCATATTTAATAAAAGGATAAATTATTCGGAATTATTGTTATTTATGAATGTGGTAAGAGGTAAAAATATGTAAATTTTAGTTTGAAAATCTACCGTTACGTAATGAGGGCCATATTATTCCTTATACAAATAGAAACAACGTACGTTTTGAGGGTGGCGAAGTCGGCTTGTTTAATTTTTGAAAATAAATAATTTAAAACAAGATACAGCCAGCGTTGAAACTGACGTCTCCTAGAATTTAAAATTCATAAACTAATTTTAAACATAACAAACCTGCTTATAGTACAACTATCTTCTGTTCTAATTAAGACAAATTCATAATAACATGATAATTGGTGTAATATACACGATAAAAACTGTTTTACCGGCCTTATACTGGACACAAATTAATTAACGTAATTTAAAAGGGGAGGTGCTGTATTTTAAGTATCTCAAAAATATTTTCAAATTTCATTAGACATTAGTTCGGCCAAGTATTTCGAAGACATCGGCTTTGTTTTCAATTTCCTAACTCAAATTGAAAGCAACCGAAATTAATTCATGATCAGACCCCACCTTACTTCCTACCTGATGTTCTAATGCCCATGAAAATTAATCGCTTTGGAGGGACTGGTTTTGTAGTCATCTGGAAGGTAGAAATATCTCCCGAGGGTGGGATGTAAATATGTCCATGTCTTGATTATGTAGTTTACGTCTATAAAACGCCACTTGTCGGTTAGATGAAAGGATAATATCGTTGGTGGTCCTGAACATTCGGCCTGAAGCCATTCTTCTGAAAATACACTCAGTGTAAATGTAAATACATTATAGATAACGCAATATTTCGTTGGATTTACGTGGACCACAGGATAAAATGCACTGCCATTGAAAAAAAATTATCTCTCACTCTTGGGAAAGAACAAATATTGAATGTTTAGAATTTCAAATTTTCAAGGCCGCGAGGAAAATGTTTATTTGACGCCGTGAAGATGGAGACTGCATATTTCTCCGAAACACTGGCATCTACCTACGAGTCAACACGTCGCCAAAACCAATAAGGAAAATATCGTCAGATTTGATAACAAAAATGCTAGGGAGAAAATTTGGCTTTCGAAGACACAAACTAATTTGAAAATTAATTAAAGGAGACATTACCAGTTGCTTTACTCGCAATTAACAAATTGTTTTAATGTATGGAACGTGTAGTAATCACGGGTAGCAATAAACTTTCACAATTGTTAATAGAATTATAATAATGGACAATTAATACGAATTTAAAATAGAACTGTAAGGTTAATACAGATCTTCAGGGACACAGGTTGTAAGCATCATACTATAAAATCGGGTATAACAGTATGATGATAAGGAATTTTGGTTCTCTGATTGTTACGAAAATGTTTTTCAGGACATCGTACGATAAGTGACTAATATCACGATTAACGCATGGCTGTAATTAACGCAAAATAACGCTCCCAATTGACCGCAAATACCTTCGAAAGCTAAAACAGCTCCGTGACGTTCATTGACGAAAGAATAATATAACATTTAAGGATTAATCAAAACATGGCGAATATTAGGTTGATGTGTCCTCTTGCTAAGGTGTTGAGACTGTCTTTAAAATTACCGATTTATGGTACTTTCAAACTTGCACGCACGCACATTCACACACAGATCAAGACCACCCATACGGTTACACATACAATTTTTTTTTTTAATATTTTAGATTGTGTGTTACAATCCTTGGATTTACTGAAGGCAAAATTCAGTGAGACAAAACTCCATACTGATATATGCAATTACGGGTTACAAGGTTACATTTAAAATGCATACGGTTTTGAAATTTCGTCAATAAATTTAATTTCATTTGAAAATTCTGTAAAATTATGTATTATATGTAGTAGGAGTTTTCTATATCTCCGAAAATTCGTAATTTCATCTGTAACTAACTAACTAACTAACTAGATGGCTTACGGAACCCGAAGGTTCATCACCGAACCAACCAAAGCCCTCGTAATTCCATCTCTGGCTAGATAAGATGACGAGTCACGCTGCAAGTTACGTCAGCCTTTGAAAACTGGCGTTGTGATTTATTTGGAAGGCGCAGTGATCATTTAAGGGTTAAGCACACAGATCCTCTATCATTAGACAGACGTCGAGAAGACTAGGGAACGCCCACGGGTCATGGACCACTCCACAGTGCATTCAGCGTCGGATCGTGACTTCTGGCGGAACGGTCGTGTTTCTGAGCAATACTCAACATTGTAATTCTAGTACCGTATTTGTCTCCGACTGAATTAATAAACAATATTTATTTATATTTTTATTTTATTTAGTGTTCTGTCTGACGACAGGTCCATATGAACAGGATCCTTCCATCCTTTTCTCGGACTGGGACCTGTTCATATACGTTCTTGGCAGATGATCCAGAAGTGGTTTGCCATTGCCTTCTTCTGTGTGTGAATGGGGTAATTGTTGGGATGCCACGGAGAAACCGGGGAAGCCCCCGGAGGAAAACTCCGTGTTGCCTAGACCACGGCCTTGCCCAACACAAGTTATAAATTCGGGCACCGCCGGGAATCGAACCCGAGACCCCAGACCCCAGGATTACAAGGCCAGCGTTCTAACCGCTAGACCACCGTGGCTAACAAAGATAATTCTACAAACATGATCTCATGGCTTAATTGACAATATTAACAACTAAATAATAATAGTGAAGACATACCTAGAAAAAAAACATAAAATAACTTAAGTAATTCCTTTCTTATGTGTCATAATGCCTGGGGGTGCAGTTTTACATGCTTTTATCTCCGTGTGTACACACAAAAAATGTTCCATTTTAATAGCCATTTACTTCCCTTCCTATT